ACCTTGCAACTGCCCACAGATGTAATTTACGCTTTCTGTAAACGTCTGTAAAGCATCCATTTAGAGCCTCATCATGTACAAAACGTTAAGTAAGCTCATGCCCATGTGGGTGAAAATTCATAAATACAATTAAATGCTCACCAAAAATGGATACAAGGCAGCTTTCATTAAAATATTAGCCATGTATATGTTAGCCCTTTCAATGAAGAAACGGTTGATACTGGTCTGAAACATTCTGTAAAATGCACACCCACATGAGGACCCTACAAGAGAAAAAACGTAATCAGCATATGCTACAGGGATGATAAATTATACTACATTGGTATGCTGGTATTAATGAAACCGTTCGTGATAAAATCCAAGATACAGACACTGACGCTCTAGTGCGAAATTTTTTTCTTATCTGCTTATATTCACCTGAATTGTCAGTTGAGTCTTTCATAATGCATTCCATCAAGTAGTTAAACTGTGGAGAGAAATCAGTTGAAAGACTAAGACTTCCTATATTTGAAACAAATGTTGTGGTTCTTAATCTAGGTAAAATTCATTACTTAGTCTGACAATGTTGTCAATTCTGATGTGAGTCACAAGGAAAACATAAAGCAAGACTGTAAAAGGCGACTAGGTTGAATGGGTTACTTATCACCTCTTGAAACACGAAATGTAACTGCAGCAATCAAGCTTTGCGCGTGCTCCAAGTCCAACACATTTTGTGTGTAAATGGTTAAGGAGAATTTAGTGGTCCACTGTGTTTAAGGACAGTAAGGACTGATTGATAATAACAGTCAATGAGGGAACAAGTTCATCTCAACATTCCTAAATTCCTTAACAACTTTCGTAAGGACTGGATCTAGAAGAGCACAACTTCGCCGGCACACTAAATACAACTTTCTTAACAGAATCCTCCCATAGGAGCTCAAAATTAGAGAAAAATCCTGAAGAAGTTACTTTAAAGGAATCACTCCAAGGAGTTCAGATACTGTTATAAATTGCAGCTGCATCAAACTCAAGAGTGAATATCAGATACTTAGAGAGGTTCTACATATGACAGTCATGGCTGTTGAAGACAAAGCAGCCACAGCTGCTGTAAATGAAACAATTGCAGCAAAGCACAATGGCTCATAAGGTCATGAGAGTAGCTCGAAAAGTAGCAGTATTCTCCAGATACATCATAACGTAATCACTATGTATGATTTTAAAATGTCAAGTTAGAAAAGCTTGCAGTTCCTTCAATGGAGTTTGCTTATACCCAAATACACAATTTATATAGCTGGTATTGTGCTACTGAAAGCATACACACCATCACAGGCATAAGGTCACACTGATACCAAATCATTAAAAAGTAATTTTATTTGGACTTTCAAAGAAAAAATAACCTAACCATGAATGTATCATTATTAGACTGAACATGTGCATTGGACGTATTATTTCAAATTTCGCCAGTACCGGACAGCGGTACGCTAGTTATAGGCATGCGTGGCTGAGCGCTTCATTCTGTTCTTCTCGTGTCTGTTAGCCCACTCGTTCTGTTATCATCGTACCGGATTCATTAAAGCTTCAGTTGTGTTACGGATTGTGTCATCGGGTTACTTCTACTTCATTAATTGGTGTGGTGGGAACTTCCTCGAACCTAAGTAAAGAAATCGACACCCAAATACAAGGGAAAGCATTCATTCCTAACGTAAGTACGTCGATATGTCAAACATTTTTCGTCGTTTGTGCTCGATTCTCTCGTAAACCCAATACACAACAACAGCCATGGCTTCTTCTCCACCAGCCTCGAAGCAGTGGAGTGTCTCAAAGAACAAGGCTATAGACAGCTTAGAGAATTGGAGGCAAAATCTGGTCTATACCTTGTCACTCGACAGCAATTTCGCTCCGTTTCTCGCCAACAGCACCACGTGGGGAAAGAAGACTAAGACCCAGCCCCTGCACGGCTTCACCAACAACAGAGAAACAGTACCACTCTCCAAACGCCGAACGGCCCAGCAGAAAGTAAATTTCCTGGAGCTCATCCTCGGGCGAATAGCCAGCTATTATCCACTGATATCTGGGAATACCATAGTGAAGAACTTGACCTCTACCTAGTCTGTTTGAAACATGATACGCGCACAGGAGCGTATCATGTTTTAGATCACAGAAGCTCACTTTCTGGATTTCACCAACTTACATTTAGAAGCTGATAAGTACCAGAGAATCTCTTCCAAAGACTAACGGCCCTTATTGAGGACACTTTACTGACCACCGAAGACGAGGAACTCACTCCCACCTTGGAGAATTTCATTGTCCTGACCTGGCTTAAACTGATATATCCTGAGTTACCTAAGCTTGTAAAACAGAGGAACGGAACAGAATTAAGATCACGAATTCTAGCCTCAATAAAACCAGAAATATCTCAGGCCCTCACCTCCTTGCTTGACGAAATACGTACAGCTGACGACGCCAAGATTATGCGCACCATTGTAAGTAGCTACGTAAACCTACTGGCAGCAGAACTCCATACAAGGCGAACACACGACCCAACTGCCCAGCCAGGTCCTGTTGACTATGCAAACAAGCCAGCCAACCTAATAGTGGGCAGTGAATGTAGTTTTCTTCCAGAACAGGATCGCAAGTACATAGCCAAAGCTAGACAAATTGCCAACATCTTTGATGATCCCCTGAACCTGAGAGCAGACCCTGAGCGGATGAATCAGTCAGTGACACTGACGACACCAGATCAAGCCCAAGCACCCATGTCTTCCGTGTACAGGCTCACCAGTCACCATACTTGGACATGTTCTATTCACAGCACCCAGTGCACGTAACCATCGACAGTGGCGCCACAGGAAACATGATTCGTCACACCATCATCCAACATTTTGGTTGCCAGGTGACATCTAGTTCCCAATCCGTCCACCTAGCAGATGACTCATCTCCCCTGCACGTGTCAGTGAGACACCCTCATCATTTACCCGTGAAGGCCACAAGTTTACCTTCGAAGGCCTTGTTGTCAAAAATCTTGGTGTAGACATTCTGGCAAGAACCCCCTTTATGGAGTCTAATGATATCGCAGTATGCCCAGCTAAGCGCCAACTAATCCCTAAAGATGGAACTATCCAAAACTATGGGTCCCAGCAACCGGTAACGGTCAGCTCTGCAGCACATTGTGCCATTGTGCTGCATTCCCCACCCACCCCCACGTCCACAACTGTCTGGCCTGGAGAGTTTCTAGAAGTTGAATTACCAGATGATGCACCTCCCGACTCTGTATGCATCAGTACCTCAGACTGATGGCTCCTGCATAAGAGAGCTAACAGCTTCCCAACTGTGGCCACAACTGACCAGAGTCTTTCGCATCGCAGGAAAAATACGCATCCCCAACTTAAATCCTGAACCTCACTTCCTCAAATGGAACAAACATTTCTGTCAGGCACATGCCATCTACATACCAGAAGCCCGCAGGGAAAATGTACAGCCACCAGTCTCACCGCCACCCAGGCCACCAGTACATCCGTCAACCACAAAACACTCTGCAAACGTGAGCTTTGACCCAGACAACACAATATCAGAGCAAAGTTTACCTCACTCTTGGATGAATACGACCACATCTCCAACCCAAACATCAAAGGCTATCCTGGCACTGAAGTTCCATTCGAAGCCAGAGTAAACATGGGTCCTGTGGAACCCTCCAACAGAAAGGCAGACTGCCCAAGTATGCCCACCAACAACTACTGGAACTCCAACAGCAGTTTGATGTGCTTGAAGCATTGAGTGTCTTTAAACACCGCGAAGACATCAACATCCCCGTCGAGTACCTATGCCTGCCCTTCCTCATCAAGAAACCCAGCCGTGGTTACCACCTAAGTCACTGCATTCATCAATGTTGGTCTCTACAGCCAGCCCCAGCCATCGCTTATTCATGATGTTGACTCCACATTATGTCTTATTGCACAGTGGAAATACATCATCGCAACAGACTTGACTAGCGCATTCTGCCAGATTCCACTCTCACACAAGTCCATGAAATATTGTTGAGTTGCCACATAATTCTGGGGTGTACAAGTATATGCATTGTCTGTCATGGGCATGCTGGGCTCTGAGACGGCTCTTAAAGAACTCATGAGCTGAGAGCTCAGTGACCTATTGAAGGAAGGCATCATAGCCAAAATCGCAGATGATCTGTACTGCAGCAAAACTTCCCAGGTGACAATCCACAACAATACTAGGCTGGACTTGGAACTCTGGCACTTTAAGAGCCAGCCCACATTGCATCGCCACTTTTGCCTTGTGCCGCGAACCTGACACTGTTGCCTGAATGAGATCATTCATTGGAGTTTTCAAGAAGCTCTCCCACCTCATCCCTGGATGCTCTCAACTACTCACAAACCTTGACAACAACATCGCTGGCCGTGAATCTAAACAGACGAGTCAGCATACAGGTGACCTCTGTGCATCATCCTACAAGGCTCAGGCAGCCCTTTCCACTGCTCACAACATCTCGCTCTAAATCAACAACAATTTGTGCAGATTGTGGCCGGGCTGTTGCTCGAAACCATCGAGAGACTTGGTGCGATGGCTGCTCTTCGTGGACTCACATAAAATGTGGTGGTGTGCTACCTAAAGAGTATCACCATATGAAGTCTACAGGAAATTTCTCACGCACCTGCAGATCCTGTCTGGCATTACTACAACGGCTTCCATTTGCGAATTCGACCTTGAATTCTAGTAGCAATTCAGAGCCGCAATCAATCACAGAGGAGCAAAATATTACATCAATGTGGACTGAGTTTGACAATACTGCTCAAAACTATCGTTTAAATTTCAAGCTTGGGCACGTTAATGCAAACAGTATTGGGGGATTCAAGTTTTATGAAATCAGAACTTGGCTGCTCTCTGGTAGATTTGACATTCTTGTTATTTCGGACACTAAGATTGATGGAAGTTTTCCAGATAATCAATTTCAGGTCGAAGGCTTTTGCCTGTGTTGAAGCGACAGGAAGGCCGGTGGCGGGGGACTTATGATCTATGCGAGGAGAGATATCCATTTCGTAAAAGTAAAATGTCTAAAAGGAATAACTCCAGAAGAGTGGGCTGCATTTAGAACAGAGACGATTATCCTTAAGGTCAAACTGGGCAGGGGTTGGATTGCAGTTGTAGGCGTTTATAGACCTCCATCAATTCCGAAACATCAATGGACTAGAGAGCTTTCATCTATTTTCGAAGAGGTCTCTACACTTACAGAGACTGTTTTCTACGCTGGAGATTTCAACGCCGATCTGTTGAATCCAGACAAGCCTCCCAAGGACGGTAGAAATCTTTTAAGACCTGATGGAAATCTTTGGTCTTGATTGCTTGATTACAAAAGCTACTCGAAAGACAAAAACATCAGAAACACTTCTTGATTTAATTTTGACCAGTTACAAGAAAAAGACATTGGTATCTGATGTAGTGGATACACAGATAAGTGATCATTCACTAGTCTTGATAATTCTACAGTCAAGAGCTCCAAGATCGCACTCTCGTAAAATTTGTGTATGAAGTTTTAAAAACTTCAACAGAGATAAAATTATTCAAGATCTACAAATGGCACCTTTCTCAATAGTCGAAGTGTTTGGCGAAGTAGATGACAAACTCTACGCCTTTGAACAATTGTACTACAAAATTCTGAATGAACATGCCCCTCTTAAGCAGACTATTGTTAGGGGCAACCAGGTACCATATACGACGGAACAATGGCGCAAGGCACAGAAATTAATTATGGCGGCTATTTATGAGAGATCGGACGGATGCAAATTATGACCATTACAAAATTCATGCACTTCTCTAAGAAGAAAGGCGATAAAAGAGCATTTTATGAAAAAGTCGTCCGAGCCTGAAAACCCAAGGGAGTTTTGGAATGCGTATCGACCCTTTCTTCATAGCAAAACAAACCAAGCAAATGACATCATTATCAAGGAAAATGATGTTGTTATGAGTGACAAAAGGGAAATTGCTAAAATATTCAATGTGCACTTTATTCAAATTGTTGACGATGTTCCGTTGGTGAAAGAGACAGATTATGGTCAACACTTTGAAAACCACCCAAGCGTTAAAGCTATTCATGAGAAGAACAGCGCAACAGATTATGGTCAACACTTTGAAAACCACCCAAGCATTAAAGCTATTCATGAGAAGAACAGCGCAACAGATGCACCACTTTTAATTTTGAACACATCAATCAAGCACAAGTAGAAAAAGCACTTTTGGACGTGAATGTCCGTAAATCGTGCGGCCACGATATGCTGTCTCCAAGGCTTGTGAAGGAATCCGCATCTGTCAGAGCTAAACCTATCACTAATATTTTGAACACCTCCGTTGAGCAAGGTTGCTACCCCAACGCCTGGAAAATGGGACAGGTCACACCTCTGTTTAAAAAAGACGACGAATCTAATAAAGCAAATTACAGGCCTGTCACACTTTTTCTGTGCTTAATAATATCTACGAGAAACTACTGGCAGCGCAATTGGGTAAATTCTATGGCGCTTTTCTGTCAGACTTTATTAGTTCATATAGGAAGTTTTACAGTTGTGAAACTGCATTATTGCGGCTGACAGAGGACTGGAGGCACATGCGTGAAAAAGGGGAACTGGTTGTGATTGTTGCTATAGACCTTTCTAAAGCTTTTGATGTCATTCAGCATGACTTACTCTTGGCAAAACTCAAAGCATATGGAGTTGGTGAAGGAAGTTGCGCCCTACTTAAGGACTACTTGTCAGGAAGACAGCAGCGAGTAAAGATTGGAGATACCTTCTCCAACTGGGCAGACACCAGAAGAGGAGTTCCACAAGGGAGCGTTTTAGCATGTGTATGTTTCAGCATGTGAAATATGCAAAACTAAACGCATACACAGACGACCATCAGATTTATTCATCTAACCTAGACCCACTTGCACTGGAAAAGTGCATTTGTCAAGAAGTTAATATCACAAATCAGTGGTAAAAACAATGGCATGATTGTTAACGAGAAAAAGCACCAAGCTCTAATCCTGGGAAAAACTGAGCACAATTTTTGTTTCCCAGTAAATAACTCGATAGATATATTTGGAATGACAATAGATAATAGGCTTTCTTTTGATAATCATGTATCAGTTATCTGTAAGAAAATAAATAATCATTAAATCAATGATTGGCATTTTGGTACACATGGCTATGCAACCAGTTTGTTTTAGTCCAGCTGTTCATGACCAAAAAAATCCTGAATTGTTGAAATTAATGATAAATAATGGTAATTGAACTGAGTGGAGTGCTATTTGGGCTGAAATCATATGCACAATTTCAGACCAAAATTGTATGACAAAAGGTTCAATTACCACTTTGTTACATCCATTTGGAATTGCCTAAATACAGGACTTGGTCAGTTCAAATATTTTATTGATGCAGTACTGAGCCAGTTTAAAATTAAATTCATCCATTTTTTTGTCGGAAAAAATAAGAGTTTTGGAAACAAAAGTCGCCAAATTTGCCACATGATACTCTGTCTTTCATTTTCTTGCAACTTGATTAATTATTTTAAACAAGCCTTGAAATCTGATTGGTTGTTTTGTTTTTAGTGTAGCCTACTCATTGGCTAGGAAAAAGAAGTGATTTAAAACAAAAAATGGTGTGATTCATGAATAAATCGCACCAATAAGAGCCGATCAGATTACAGGGACCACCAGTGATTTCAAAATGGGCGTAAGACTAACATTTTCTGATACAGAGCCAATCAAAATTAACTTCTGGAGACAAGAACAACACGTTAGCAATTCACCAACATGGAAACACGGCTAAGAATAAAAAAATCCTCTTAAAGGATGAAAGCTTTCCAACATAATCAATGAATCATTCTCTACCCATTTGTATCTATCACATGACTATCTTCTTTAATATTTATCATAATATATGGGCACCTTGTGGTTAAACATCAACGATGAGTAGTGTGTGAAATAAGAAAAATTGAAGCAATACAAAACAACATGGCTGTAGAAGTTCCGCTTATAGGTCACAAAAGCTTTAGTTTTCACATCAGGGCTGAGGAATTGCACAGCTTTAAAGATGGAACACTCTGTCTTTACTTAATACAGCGATTTCACTTAATTAAGAACACTTTCGATTCTTCACTTGAATATGACTTTTTTGGGGGGATTATCGATAGGAAGTAAAAGGTTTTACCCTGAGCATAAAGATGCTCCGAAAGAAAAACGAATGTTAGATGCAGCATGGCTGCACGCAACCTTTTCAAGAGTGGTAAGGTATTAGTACCCAGGACTCAACTCAGTTTTGAAGATGGCAGCCTCTATGTATACTTACAGCTTAAATATCTATTATTTCTTAGATTACTGGCATACGAAATGGGTAATTTGATCCTGATCACAAGATGCCACTGTTAAAATTTGATATTTTTTGTAATGTTTTTATGCCAGTGGATGAATAGACAAGTTCTTCTTTGTACTGAGACAGAAGAGTAAAAAGGGGAATTTCAACTTTTCAGTCAACCATGGACTGGAAGCGCCACATTATTTGCCAGAGAGCCAATGGAGAGAGCTTGTAGCACCCTGCAAATTCTAAAAGGAAAGATGCTGGTACTAGTTATGTTTCATTTATTTAGAATGTAGAGGAATTCCAGAAGCCTGCTGACATAAATCTTGTTGAGATCGTTTTAATAACACTAACCTACAGCATGAAAAGAAAATAAAATTTGACAAAGTTTCAGAAGAGGAAAGACATGATGAGATAGAGGAAACCATCTTCTCAAGTCCAGTTAAAGCAAGACGATCTAGTGTAGGACGTTACAACCCCTAGAGACAATGTTTTTTCTGTGATGAGTATGATAGTTCCTGTAATGTTCAATGTGCATCAACCCTTGATGTCGACAAGAAAGTCAGAGACCATGCCCCTCTTCTGAATGACAAAAAAGTCATTGCTCAGATGTTGGCTGGTGTTTTAGTTGCCATGGAGGCAAAGTACCATGTCAAGTGCTTGGTTGGACTTTACAGTACGGCCAGGCCTTTCAAACAACAGGATTCAAAACCTACAGATGATACCTCAGTGGAAATTGAAGAGCTTACATTTGCCGAGCCTGCTACACTTATCCTTTCAGATTTGGTGAGATATTGTACCTCCAAACTACAAGGGATAGGTGTTGAGTATGGCAAAGTTAATGCAACAAGCCTTAAGGAGAGAGTGCTAGCAGCATTTCCCAATCTTACAGCGCATGCAGAAGGCAGGGAAATTTAACTGGTGTTGCAACATGAAATCGGGGGAATGCTGTCAAAGTTTAAAAAGATGGATTCTGACGCATTTTGTCTGGCAAGAGCAGCACCTATCGCAAGGAGAGAAATCCTGAGAAAAAAAATTCTTCAAATCGCACATTTGTCCCAGAATGTCAGGAAAATGCTGTTCCTGTCTCCTTGCTAACATTAGTTGGTGTGATAATCACAGGTGTCACTATTAAGGCCAACCCTCCAGATAGCCAGGCCTGTCTCTCAATCGTGCAACTGATCATATTTAACAGCATTTCAAGACCTTGCAATCATCCTGAGGGCACTTGTAAATAACACATCATATAAGATCAAGAGAGTGCCCACTGCCCATTTATACTGCTCTGAAAATATATGATGCAACCAGAGACAGATCTCTCATTAATACCTTTTATAACCTAGGAATGTGTATTTCAAACAAAAGGTTTAACTCCATGTCTACCAAAATAACAAACAGTGTAATTGAAAGGTATGCACCTGAAGGAGTTACATGTCCATTTAAACTCAGAGGGACACTATTGACAACTACAGCAGTTGCTAACATTGATCACAATCTGAGTTCCACTACCTCTCAGGGCTCGCTTCGTCCGTGCCTCCTTGAAGGAGATGGAAACCTGATTGCAATCTATACCAGGGATATCATGGATGATATGGTGGTCAAAACTGTTCACAATGTTACAAAAATTGGTAAGGAACAGTTTAACTCATTTGTCAATGAGTGGTTCATCAAGAGAAGCAAGCCTGTTATACAACCTCTCAAGAAGAATGATCTTCCCACTTTCATGTCAACCAACAAGGAGACCATTTCAAAAGACAAGGCAAAAGTGGAAGTTTTGAAAGAGGATAGTGCTTTATGTTTGTGGCTATGCATAGCGTGTCAAATTCATGATGGAAACTTGGAAGATTTCTTTAAGTATGAGAACCAACTACAGCTGCCATCACTTTTGCAGTTTGGCCAGCTTTGAGGAGGACAGAAGGCAGACTTGGTGAAGTGCTTACCCAGCACATAAGCATAGATTGCATCTCAACCAGTCGCTGATGCAGTTATTCTTGATGAAGCTGTTGTTGTGCAGATGCTACAGCCAAGAGCACCACGCACCTTTGATGAATACTTTAGTACCCTGTTCACCCCTTACATCCTCAAACACCTTGAAACAGCAAGAAGGGTTGACTTACTATGGGATGTCTATCAGGATGATTCACTAAAGAGATGATTGCGAGAAAAGAGAGGCATTGGACAATGGCCCGAAGTACTAGCATCAACAAGAATTCCTGTTGACTGGAAAGGCTTTCCGTGAGTCGATGATAGTAAGGACAAACTTTTCAAACTCATTACAAACAAGGTATGTACCTAATATTGTCGACTTCTATAACAGAGCTGTGTCTTTAACAGAATTCAAACACCTTACTATACACGATTTGATCTCATATATTTTTATTCACTTTATCTAAGGTGGTTTGACTGCAGGCACCTGAGGGGTAAGAGCATCTACTCTGCTTATGGCGAGGGTATCCTAACAAGTACTGAAAGAAAAGAGATGAGCTTACTTGCACCTTGCACAAATGAAGAGGCAGATACTCGCCTTATAGTCCATGTACATGATGCAGCCTCAAGTGGATATTGACAAATTTAAATTAGAAGCAATGATGCAGATGTTGTTGTACTTGCTATTTCAGTGGCTAGCACTCTTCCAAAAGATGAACTCTGGATCACCTATGGGTCTGGAAAGAATGTACAGAATACCCCTACACATGCTATAGCAATGTCCCTGAGTCCCGATAAAGCCTCAACCCTACCATTGTTCCATGCACTAACTGGGTGTGGTAATGTTTCATTTTTTGGAGGGCATGGAAAAAAACGGCTTGGAATGTGTGAAGAGTGTTTCCTCAACTGACACCAGTGCTAAAAGTCCTCAAAGTATCACAAAAAGAGAACACAGAGGAATGCATGGCTGTGCTTGAGAGGTTTGTTGTCCCTTTATATGACTGTACAAGCAGCCTTACAAAAGTAAACGAGGTACAGTAAAAGCTCTTTTCAAAGAGGTCTAGAAGCTCAGACAGCATGCCTCCCACCAGAGCCCCACTTGAGCAGCACGTCAAAAGAGCAATGTTCCATAAAGGCTACCTATGGGGCCAAACCCCCTTTTGTCAGCCAGTGCTCCCAAGCCCATCAGACTGGGGGTGGCAGCAGCTCAACAACTCATGGTTACCATTCTGGACAACTCTACCTCAAGCAAAGGAATCTGTTCTATACGTGATGTGGATGTAGAGCTTCATGTAGAGGATGATGCAAGTCCTTAAAGGCTTATTTGGTGTGCACTGGTTTGTGCAAGTGTGGCAGCAACTACCAACAGCCATAAATATTTTTATAATAAAGTTCGGATATAACGAGCGCTGTCATTGGTTGAAAGAGCGTGCTCTATGAGAGTATAGAGCATAGAACTGAGCTAAAGCTGTCACGCCATCTGCCAAATTATTCTATGTTCGACCTTTTCCGGGACTTCTTTTTAGCTTTTTCCGATAATTGAAAGTGAAATTTCGGAACAAGCGAGCCGGCAAGTAACAACGGAAGAACCAAACAAAGGTTTGTAAACATACCAGGCGCCGTAATTTACGTTATTAAAACGTGAGCAGATATGATAATCCTTAAAGGAAAAACAAAATAGACATTCCGAGTTTCAAAGATTTTCACGCTCAGTTAGATTGCAAGCTTAAGTACGGTAATAAAAATCAAACACAGCAAACACTCGAATAGTATATAAAGTTCAGAGTTCAAAAACAAAATAGAACAAAACAGAAATGATGAAAAATATAACCAAACTGACATAACTGCTAAAATTCATACTAATCATGACGGTGTCTGAGCAAATATGATCATGCTGAAGTCCATCGCGGCTCGCTTATCATGACGATCTCCGGTCATCACAATAAAGCAAGCCTCAGAAACTACATCGGCCGCCCTTCGAGTGAAAAAATAAGAACTCGCTCTGATATCCTTTCCGATGCATTGAGTGGAAAGTCACTTCAGTCACTGCAGCCGAGTTTTGCGACGCTGTCATTCCGAGCGATCTTCATGTTCCGGTGAATTCGGCTGTCGTTCATTTAAAAAACTCTTGCCTTGAACAGTTTGTTTTCTACCTTGTCATGTGAAAAAAATTGCGTTTTTTATGAGCCATAATTCGGCTGAAGTTCACTGAACATTTCACTTGAGGATTCTGTATTAAAAACTTCAAGCAAAAGCGTTAAATTCGACTTGCCGAACTATTTTAGTTTGTAAACTATCTCAGATTGTGAACTTTAATGGTTTTTGAACTTTGATGGTTTGACACTTTTGACAGCTTTTGTCTTGTAGAGCCAATCAGATTATTTGAACCATTCTAACAGGGATTCTGATTGGCCTATTGTAGTGTGCTCTATGAGAGTATAGAGCATGCTGACGACACTGTTATTCGCTTTGGAAATAAAGTTTGTTTTGAAAATTGAAAGTAATTCTTGGGGAATTTAACAGATTCTTTATTATAAAACAAATAGAGAAGCCTTGACTGTGCTCTGTTCTTTTATAAAGCACGCAGGAAGCGGCTAGAGCACTCAAGAAGTGGGGAGAAACTACGTCTCGTGTTTCTCCCTACACTTCTTTCGTGCTCTAACCGCTTCCTGCGTGCTTTATAACAGAACAGAGCACAGCCAAGGCTTCTATATTTGTTAAACAAAGGCGTCAGTTGTGACCAGAGTACATCGACTAAGAATTAGCCATTTCATTAGTCACTTGTGGAATTTTGGTCAGATAGGAGAATATTTAGGATTTCACCTAAAGCGCCGTTCAGAAAAATGTAGCTGAACAATTTACCACAGGTATCCCTAACCTGTTAACCAAAGCTTATTTATACTAGGTGGTAGATTTTACTAAAGTAACGGAAGAGAATGTCAAATCAAGCAAAGATATAAGCTTTATGTTTCTAACATAAACAAGTTTTACCAATTGTGATTCAGAACATAATGTAAACCGGTATATTTGACATTTAACCACAGGACAGCCAAACACCATGATAAATATCATAGATGATAGACATGTAATGGCGTAAGATGAATACCAATGTATAGAATGTGACTTGGTGGTTATGTTTGAAAGCTTTTGTGGCAAATTTCCCTAAGCAATGTCATTTAAGATGATTTTTATATCCTAATCATTCTAAGTAACATATTGCAGTTTGCAGCCTTTCCCTACATCTGGGAAATTCAGAAAGGCGCAAAACTCTAGAACAAAAATTTATCTTTCAAATTGGCACCCTTAGTCCCCACGGTATCAGCAAGGGCTTTTCATTTGACTAATTTCTTTTTGTTTTTCTTGTCACCATATTCCCACCAGTAGCATAGCTCCATTTTCTGCATATAAACACTCACAACCCACAATTCCTCCATTAGCTTTGACAAAGGGTAATGGTCAAAATGTCCACTCAGTTGATAATAGTAATGTTAATCACTGACTTTATGCACCAACACTTCACAAACCTGAAGACCAAGGTCATAGGCCAAATCCAGTAATTTAGAGGCAAGTTGCTGAGAAGCTGGAGCAAGAACGACTGTCTGGAGACTGCCATTCACAGACAGTTTAACACTGTCATACACTGCTGTGAAAAGCTTTACTGCATACTTTTCTGCTGTACTTCCAGCCTACAACATTATCATAATCATCTTTGTTTAAACACAATAATCTTTAAGCTAAGAGCTCTGAAAGAAACACAACAAACTTTGTATATCGCCTTGTTGAGACTGATGGATTTATTGGCAAATGAAAGGAACTCTAGATATAATGGACAAATTTATGGTGAATTTCTTTGATATTTCAAAACTCATATAACTTTGAAAAAGCTGTTTTGACAAACAGGATATCAGAAACATACACCAATGATTGAATAGACAATGCACAGGAGACAATTACAATACACCATCAACAATAAAATTACATACATGTAACTTTGCAAATTTGATCAGGGACTAGCCACATGCTATTTATAAAAGGGGTAGATTAAAGGTGACAGCTAGATGACTCTACCTGAGCATGGTTAGCATATTACTACAGTGCTCACTGGTAAAATTTTCCAGTTATTTGGCATTTGAAATGTTATGCAATAACTACTTGAACCCTACAAACCTGAGCCTTTAAAGCAGGTAGTAGCAAGCCAGCATAGTGCAGCTGTTGGTGGCCTTGTACCAAGTAAGCCAATCTCAGATGATCAACATGGTATTCTTGCAGACCACTCAGTGGAAATGGAAGTTGATCAAACAGATTGCAGTGACTGTAACAAGGCAATAACATAGGACTGAAACTGTTTAACGTTTTTCTTATTAGTACTCTAGAGCATTAAGGTCCCTGTTTTACTTAAATTGTGCTGTTGACTACCTTTTACGAAAAAAAAAGCAACTTGTGCATACATGGAGCAAGATGAATATATGTATGTAAAAAGGGTTACATAAATCAGTTGGTCGCTCAAAACCGTTGTGGTACATAAGAGCGTAACATCATCAGTGATGGAAACAAATCGGCGGAAAGGAAGGTTAGTTCATCGGGTTCCGTATACTAAATCTCGGGAGAAACTGCAAGAATTATTTCAGAGTGTATGCGTGTTGTTTTGTAAATATAAACACTGTAACCTATTTTAACTTGTTTTTGTGTCCTTTTAAGCAACGCGATAGGTCTGTTATGACCACAGTGCCAAATTTTATTCTTTAATTTCGATCTTCTCCACAATGCCCGTAGTTCATGACTTGATATTCAACGTAAATTATCGAGAAAGCACCTTCCGATCACCTTTGTCTACGTTGTAAGTAACGCAAGCGCGCAAGCGTTACGACCGATCACGTTTACATAACGTTTTAGGACAACTCGGCATCTAATCTCCATTCAGTTGCTGTGAAAACCTAAAATTCTCAACGTAGAAGATAAACGAACGAAGTTTGAACGGTCAAAAGGAGATCTTGGTCAATTTTAAGAATCATGCAAATGATCTTTGACACGAGCGCAACTGAGCAAACACATGGATTTGCGCTGTTTTTAAGAAGTTTGTGGATGGAAGCTAGAGATATACCCGCGGGTTTGAGGCAATCCGTAACCTTATTGATGCATAAACTATGCACTGATATGCTTTTTCAGCCCGATTAACATCTGCATTTTGAGAATTCTTTCGTACAAAGTAGAAAATTTTTGATATGCAAATTATGGTCGAAGAGAGGGGTCTCCTCTGATCACGGTGGTATGAAAAATACTTCAGCTGAAGTTTCCATGTTTTGTCTGTGAACTAACTGAATACATCTTGTAACTTGTGGCAAGATACAATTCCATGAGCTACATTGTTGCAGTCGCTGCGCGCTGGACAAAATCTTTGAAATTTACACTTTCGATCACTGTTCACTGGGGTGGTCTGGCCAGAAATCATTTTTGGCTTGTGACGACGCAAAAAAAGAGAATTGGAGAACAACTAAACTATTTTTCAAACATGTGTCCTAATCCCTTTTCATGGGCAAAAAATAAAAGAAAACTTTCTTCCGACGGGAAGTCGAGAGGACCGCTACTAGCGAGAGTGGTACTTTAAATTCTAGACAAGGCACAAATTAATCATAGGACTTGTTTGCGAAACAAAATTGTACATTTTCCCCGTAACTTCTTGCCATGGGGTTATTCTTGTTGGAAAGGAGACATGCATTTAAATATACAAAATTTTTCCTAGAAAATTACCTTTCCAATGCAATCTTCTTTTCAAGGGTTCCTTTAAATCTTTTCAAACTCTCTCCTGAAAGCCTCTGGGCCAACAGCTTACACAAAGCACCAGTCTAAATAGTAGAACAAAGTGGATCAATAAGAGTACAGTATGTAACAGGTTACCGCCTTAGTGCTGCAGCAGGTATGACAAAAATGAGCAGCATTCTGTGTCTAGG